ACCAAAATCGTATTGACCAGTGTAATCAATATCATGGCACATCTGCTGATTTAAATAATATATATATATATATATATATATATATATATATATATATATATATATATATATATATATATATATATATATCCTGACTAAACACCCTGTATCTTTTTTCTTTAGGTTTGGAGCAAGTCTACTCTACCAAACCAAGATTTTGGAAGAACTTGACGGGCGAATACAAGAAAGTATGTCTTCCATGCCACAAGAGTTACTCGTGAAATCAGTTCACGTGATTCCTGGGCTGCTCGAGAAGCTGGTGGCAAAATCTCTTGCCCCATGTAGAATTTTAAATAAAACCTCATGCGAAACACTTTCCTATCATATCCATTTCTTGCAAGAATTATAGTTAACAAATGAATTATAAGTATTTTGAAATGGGGAGTTACTTTTCAATCAGCCTGTAGATAAAGGTACCTATGAATAATCATATTTACAAAAAATATTAGGTTAATTTAGTATCCATTTATTTGTCACAATATTCAGAAAAAAATATCTACATACATACATATACATAGAAACGCATAAATACATGCATACAAATAAATAAGTTTATGATTATATCGGCCCATATGTCCAAGTAATAATTATAAGTTAGATATTCTTGTACATGTAGTTATGGATAATATTGTACATTAATTACTAATTTTTTAAATTAATACCTATTTGTGCTAAGTTGTTGACATTAATAGCTATCTGCTGTTGTACAATTTTGGAATAATTCAATAATAAAAATTTAAATTTCATCTCTCTGATAGAAGTCGCGATTTAACAAATTACTTAAACCAAGGGCAGATAACTCGTAGATAATTTCCTCTCTGATAGATGTCGCGATCTTTTTCTTATTCTGTTTTTTCTAAATACCGAACGCAGAGAATCAGCAATTTTTTTTTTTTTTGGCATAGAATGAATACATTTCCTGACTTCATTCTTTCTCCCATGATAATGATGATGATGATGATGATGATGATGATGATGATTATGTTGTTGTCGTTTTCTTCATTATTATTATCATTAATATTATTATTTATTTTCTATGATTTCTGGCGTTTACACATTTCTTTCTAGGTCCCGCCCAGGGACCTAAGGTTAGAAATGGCATCATGACACTTTCCACTAACAAAAAAAAAAAAAAAAAAAAATTACATAGATAAAGCCCTTCGTAAAGTGTGGGCTGTACTTGTCAAAACAATTTTTTGTATCTCCTTGAGGCATGGACTTCCAGGAATCCCTTCAATTAGTCTACTGCAATCTTTTCCAACCAGTCCTAGGGCTCCAACTACAACAGGGATTGTTGATGTTCCCATGTGCCACATTTTCGAGATTTCTATTTCAAGGTCCTTGTATTTTGACAGCTTTTTGAATATCTTCAAAGATACATTGCAGTCAGCAGGGACTGCCATATCAATAAGGAGGCACCGTTTTTGTTTGTGGTCTTTAATAACAATATCTGGGTGGTTGACCTTGATTGTTCTATCAGTGTGTATTGTGTAATCCCATAGAATTGTAACAGGTCCTATCTCCGTAACCGGGTCTGGGTGGTGTTCATACCAGTTTCTTTCAGTTTCCTTCCCGTAGAAGTTGCAGATTTTCCAGTGCAGATATTGGCCCACTCTGTCATGTCGGGTTTTATATTCAGTGGGTGCCAACATCGTGCAACCTGATACAAGATGATCAATCGTTTCTGGATATTTATCACAGAATCTGCATTTTGGGCTACACAATATTTTAGCATATGTGCTTGATAATTTCTAGTTAGCAAGCATTGGTCCTGCGCAGCAAGGATAAAACCTTCAGTTTCCGCTTTCAACCCTGCACTACGTAGCCACTGATGGGTACAGGTTTTGTCTATATCAGCTTGTTTGGTACGGGCAGAGTATTGGCCATGAAGCGGTTTATCTTGCCATCGCTTCTGTATCTGGTCGGTTGCATTCGTCTTTGCTGTCTTTTTTAAGTATTTTGCAGTTTCAGCCGGTGTATTGTGCTGTAGTTGCATCTCTACGCCCATTTGAAACTCCATTTTGAATTTGTTGGCTTCTTTTATTACGGAGTAAAGATTATTATTATTATTATTATTATTATTATTATTATTCAACTTTTTACAGCTATCAGGGACATGTGATTAAATTTTCGACAATATACGCATTTTTTACGTATTTATGGTCATTTTTTAACTTTTATCAAAAACGACATTCTTGTACATGAAGTTATGGATAATATTATACATTAATTGCTACTTGTTTTAAATTAATAACTATTTGTGCTCAGTTGTTGACATTAATAGCTATCTGCTGATATGTTAAAATTTTTGAATAATGCAATAATAAAAATTTTAATTTCATCACTTTGACAGATATCGCGACCTGTTAATTTTAAATAATAGGTTAGTATGCGTGTGTGTGTGTGCATTAATATGTATATCTGTTTTGGAGGCGCTCGTCTCTACAAATACTTATTGTAGTTCTTACAGAGAGACATTAATTGCAAAGACCAGCAGGATATTAAATCTGAGTAATTTATTGGTCAGTAACCAATAATATATATATATTTCTACATGTAGCCTTCATGTTACAAAGCTCATTTTAATACAATATCATAAAGTAGACATTGTAATCGCAGTCAAGCGTAAACAATCTAAATTAAAACATGCCTTGATCTTGTTCGTTTTAATACAGCTTCAGTTACACGCAAGCGAACGCTGGACACAAAAACTACAAACATTGGCCAAAATCTTGATTCAACAAAATAGGACTGCTAATAAAATATACACAAAATAATAGAAGCAAATATTTACTATCTGTATGCAGAAACGTTTACGTTTTACGTTATAGATTGAAATTATATAGATAAAAATTGTAGAGGGGCCGTGGCTGTTATGTTGTTGATAGAAGTCAGATGTAGAAGAAACGCATGTAAGGTTCAGATACTCCTGCCCGCAGGGCCCAACTACATAAAAAGGTTGGACTTTGATTAAGTCCAAAGAAGAAGGCAAAGAAAGCAAACAAAACACAAGACCGATAATATATGTATATACAAATATATATTAATAACAAGTTACAATAGATGGAAACAGTACAAAGGATGAAGTGTATGGGAATATTCTGTATGTGCGTGCGTGCGTGTGTGAATATTCGGTATGTGCGTGTGTGTGTATTGTGCTTAGCGTGTTTCCACGCTATCCCTTGTTAGCGCCTACATTTCGGGGTTGATAGCTGAAATCCTGAGGAAAAAAAGAGAGATTTACCTCAAGGTGTCGGCGCACAGGCCTGAAGGAAAAAGAGATAGAGGCGAAGGGTCAGCGGCTATTTATAGCCAGGGAAGAGAGACCCCTGGTGAAAGGTTTAATGTACTAAAGGAGGAGTAAACTCCGACAAAATACATATGAATAATCATGTTTACAAAAAGTATTACCTTAATTTAGTATCCATTTACATATCACGATGTTCGATATAATATTCAGAAAAAAAATATCTACATACATACACATACATGCATACACATACATACATACATACACATAGATACATGCATAGAAATAAATAAGTTTATGAATATATTGGCTCATAAGTCCATTAAGTAAAAAAACTTTATCCCATAAATATAGCACACCTTAAGACTACATTTTTCTTCATATATATATATATATATATATATATATATATATATATATATATATATATAACTGTTTATTGTAGTTCTTACAGAGAGACATTAATTGCAAAGATCAGGAGGATATTAAATCTGAGTACTTTATTGGTCAGTAACCAATAATATATATATATTTATACATGTAGCCTTCATGTTACAAAGCTCATTTGAATACAATGTCATAAAGTAGACATTGTAATCGCAATCTAGCATAAATAATCTAAATTAAAACATGCCTTGATCTTGTTCGTTTTAATACAGCTTCAGTTACACGCAAGAGAACGCTGAACACTAAAACTACAAACATTGGCAAAAATCTTCATTCAACAAAATAGGACTTCGTCAGTTTTGTTCAACCCTGGTGTATAGACTGAATATGTGTCGGGATTAGAAATTTAGCTATTACAGTTTTTAAAAAATTTCTAATTTTTATTTTTACATATATATTTTATTATTTAATATATTTTTTATTCATTATAAATGTTATATTCTTAAATTTAATATAAGTTATCTAAATATGACTTTTTAAATATATATCATTACTAAGTTAATTTATCGTGGAAGAGTAGTTTTATGTAGGAATTTAACCTTATAAATATAACAATTTTTTTTTATAAAACTCCCTTTTCTGTCCTCTTTTAGTTCCAAATTGACACTTCATTCTTCATATAACCCCAGTTAATATCATAATGCTAATTTTCGATGTTGTTGTGTAATATTATTTCTTGGCTCTGTTATAATAAATACATTGAGCTCTTTTTGTGGATCAGTTTAAATATTTTATATTATTAGGATCTACTTGGATTATATACCAACGCATTTATTACTATATATATATATATATATATATATATATATATAAAGAAAGAACAGTAAGATATATAATCTGGTGTTCTTATAGATATTTTTATTTTTACAAAATAGTGATCAATATAAATTTCCAGAGCATTAATATTATAAATTAATTGATTTAAAATATAGTTTTTTTTCGCTACACAGTTCTAACCATGTTTCAAAAATGGAAGCTAAAAGCTTCGAATTTAATTTTGTAATTAAATTAAAGACATTAGTTCGAATTCGCTTGAGGATGAAATGGAACTAATGTCTTTAATTTAATTACAAAATTAAATTCGAAGCTTTTAGCTTCCATTTTTGAAACATGGTTAGAACTGTGTAGCAAAAAAACATATTTTAAATCAATTAATTTATAATATATATATGTGTGTGTGTGTGTGTGTGTGTGTGTGTGTGTGTGTGTGTGTTAGAGAGAGTATGTGTGTGCGTATGAAATAAGAAGGTTCATGTTGTCTCACCGCTTGAACTCTGATTGGAATCACTGAGGTCCGAAGCAGAACATTCTTCCAAAATTGAACGAGGTAGTAGTTCTTCATAAAGACCAATCTTGCCATTTTGGTTGAATAACTGAGGAACATGGTAAAGAAAATTGTTCATGAGGTCCAGATGTTCCAATCTGAAGAAAAATGAAATATTTGAAACAAGAAAGGAAAAAAAATATATATACAGATAAAAATATCTCAAATAATACAAATATTTATAACGGTCGTAAAATGTTAGCAAAAAAATATGTCAGCAAAAACAAAATAAAAAAAACAAAACAGGCAAACTCTATAGGGATGTTTGCAGTAATTAAGTTATATTCAAGTTTGTCCTTGAAGCGTAACCAAGAGGGGACTACATTATGCTTGTCATGAAAAAGTTGGCTATACATGAGGACTTTCAGCATCCGATCATCACTCATTCTGATGACATGACCAGCCCATCTGAACTGTGATTGCAGCCACCGACGTCACATTTGATGAAAAAGAAAAGGGTTAGAGATTTTATCCTGCCGTGTATACCCATATATATATATATATATATATATATATATATATATATATATATATATACACGCACCAGGTGTAAGAGCAAAATTGTCCAAAAATGTTAGGCAAAAAAAAACAGCGATCTTGTTATTATTTTTTTTCTTTTTCATCCTTCTTTCGTTTAAACCTCTTGCTGCCAGTTTCAACTAACACTTCCTTTTTTCCTCATATATGGCGATCGTTTTGTTTCAAATTTGCATTTTCTTGATTCCAGATAAAAACTTTGAAAATTTCCAACATATTTCAATGAAAATTTCACTTTCCAAAATTATAGTTTATTATTATAGTTTAGATATATTTAAAAATTGTGTTAGTTTAAACTGATGCCAGAAATATATGCCTTTGACGGATACCTTATACTGTCATTATATTCTGATCATTTCGATTAAGTTCATATTTTCTTCATTTCACACAAGAACTTGGAAATTTCACAATATATTTTGATGAAATTATCACTTTCCAACCCTTGTAGTTCATGATTATACACCAGACATAGATAAAAAGTAAGGTGTCAGTGTAACTTGATGTCAGGAAGATAAACCTAAAAATGGTAACATCTTTAATTCTATATATTGTGACCTTTTTGCTTAAAGAGTGTATTTTCTTGATTCCAGATTCTTTGACATTTTCCAACATATTTCAGTGAAATTTTCTCTTCATAAAATTATAGCTCCGAATTTAAATTTACTTGGACATTTCAATGTGGTGTAATGGTTAACAAACTTGTCTCTCTAGATCAATTACGACTTAGCAGTGAGTTTGATACTCACTGGGCGCTCCATACTTTCGGCCTTGTTCTACATCTAAGCTACGAACACACGGCTCAGTGGATAAAAACGTTGCTTGAAGTAATCCAGTAAATTGAACCAAGGAGTTGTGAGTTCAATACAGGGCTACAGCAGAGGTAAATAAAACTTGGAGAGTTGAGTTACTAAAGGGAAATAACTGAAACTAAGATATCCAGAAAAGGCATGGCACGTGGAACTAGATCATTGTACCCCGGTGGACGAAATAAACGGTTCGGTTCGATATTCCAACGTATATCACCTGAAGAAATCTTTAATTAGACCTTGGCTAGATTATTCTAGCTCCACGCGCCATGACTTTTCTAGATATCTGAGTTTCATTTATTTCCCTTAAGTAACTAAAACATTCAAGTTCTTGTCCGCCTCTGCTGTGGCCAGGTCTTGAACTCACAAGTCTTTGGGTCAAGTCACTGAATTACTTCTACCGGTGCATTTATCCACTCACTGAGCCATGTGTCCTTGGGGAAATTCCAATGCATATCACCTGAAGAAGGCCTGAGCGTACAACGCCCGAAACGTCGTGAATATGATAATAAAGATGAGGACAACAGCCCGAACAATGTAAATAATGTAAATAGTTACAATACCTCATCTCAGATATATAGACAGACCCTGAAGAAGGTCTGAACGTACAACGGCCGAAATGTCGTGAATATGACAATAAAGATGAGGACAACAGTCCGAACAATGTAAATAATGTAAATAGTTATAATACCTCATCTCAAAAATAGAGACAGGTACTGAAGAAGGCTAGAGCGTACAACGGCCGAAAGGTCGTGAATATCACAATAAAGATGAGGACAACAGCCCGAAAAATATAAATAGTGTAAATAGTTACGATACCTCATCTCAGATATATAGACAGATCCTGAAGAAGGCCTGAGTGTACAACGCTCGAAATGTCGTGAATATGATAATAAAGATGAGGACAACTGTTCGAACAATATAAATAGTATAAAAAGTTACACTGCCTCATCTCATATATATATAGATAGATATTAATATTACTGTTTGAAATTTACTTCAGTAAGACTTCTTGATTTAGGCCGGTTGACATTAATTTCCCTGTTTAAGATAATATATAAAAAGAAAACTATGGCTGTGGAATCTTTTGATATTGTACATCTAGAACATGAATCTGTTGGAAGAAAACAATTGGAAATAAATTTGAAATTTGAAGATGTGAGACTGTGCCCAACAAAGCTTGTAATTAGGGGTTATCCAAATTGAATTAAAATATTAAAAGATAGAAAAGAATTTACTTACTGAGGTAGTGTTCCTAAAGATATAAATGTCTCCGGATGCCACAGTTTGTTGTGACTCAGTCTGAGGATCCGAAGCCGAGGGAAGCGCAGATATTGAAGGCTTCAATTGAAGAATCATAGAAGGCAAAACAATTACTACTTGTTTCATAATATTTTGATGAAGAAGCAGCGAAGAATGGGACTTCGGTAGAGAAAGTTAGCAGTAGTTTTCGTAAAATGCTAAGTTTAATTTTAAGTGGAGGTAAGGAAAGATTATCTTATATGTTCCTTATAATAATATCAATAGTCTTGTTGAGAGTTGATGAATGAATTTTCGACGTCAAGTGAGGCTATGGTTTCATTATTAGGTTTTTCACTTTTTAGATTTTGAATTACTTCGAGAGTGGATTTTATGCTATATTTACTAGGAATGTATGATGTGATGAGTTGGTTTATGATTTTTGTTAACTGATAAACAAGAGTGGGAATTTGTGATATAAAAAGACAGAGACGATAGTCATGTTTTTGTGTTTTTATAGTGCCGTATAGAAACCAGGCCTATAATCATTTACAATTTTAGGAAGTTTCAAACTGTCATGTTTGATATTATTAGCAGTGATGAGTTTATTAATTTTAATTTTAGTTGTTTAGATTCTTTTTAATTTAAAAAAAATGGGTGGTTATGGAGTATATGTTCTAGTTTAGTTTTTTGTTGTAGCCGAATTTGTTTAGAACGACGAAGATGTTGGTTTTGTCGGTTTTTTTAAACGGTTATGTCGGGGTGATTACTAAGCTCTTTAGCGGCAATTTGTAGTTGTTTGCTTAGTATTTGTAGAAAGTTTTCATTCTATCATGCCTATCCTTAACTGCCGCAGCCTAGAGTAAGTCCGTAAATTCTGGTTTTATTCGTACTGAAGCCTTTCGATGCTTTGATATATCGTCTCGATTTCAGATATTTTTTTTAAATAGCAGGTTGTACTTACTTACGGTAATTATGGCAACTTACGGTAATTATGACAACTTACGGTAATTATGGCAACTTACGATAAATATGGCAACTTACGGTAAATATGGCAACTTACGATAAATATGGCAACTTATGGTAATTATGGGAACTTACGATAAATATGGCAACTTACGATAAATATTGCAACTTACGGTAATTATGGCAACTTACAGTAAATATGGCAATTTACGGTAATTATGGCAACTTACGATAAATATGGCAACTTACGGTAAATATGGCAACTTACGGTAATTATGGCAACTTACGGTAAATATGGCGCTAAATATTGCAATAAAGATGTTTTGGGATTTATGCATTTTTCTTTATAAAAATTCCTTGCTTGGATGGTTTCTCCATAGCATTACCAACCCCTCCTCCTTAACAAACACGTTTGGATTGGTATGGCTTATCAAAAAAATTTGGGGTTTCATAAAAAATCGTATTCTAACTATTTACATTATTCGAACTATTGTCCTCATCTTTGTCGCCATATTTATTACAACGTTTCGGCCGTTGTACGCTCTGACTTTCTTCGGTGGTTGGAATGTGGAACTGAACCCTTTATTTCGCTCACTGGGGTAAACTGTTCTAGCTCCACGTGCCATGTCTAATGGATGTCAGTTATCATTTATCTCCTGCTAATTCCCCTCTCCAAGTTCTCCACTGCCTTACCCAGGTATTGAACTCACAACTCTTTGGGTCCTGTCACTGGATCTAGCTAACGCCTTTTACATGAGACAGTGGATAAAGGCGTTGGTTAGATCCAGTGACAGGACCCAAAGTGCGTGAGTTCAATACCTGGTTAAGTCCGAATAATGTAAATAGTGTACATAATACCTCATCTCAGAAATATAGACAGGTACTAAAAGGCCGAAACGTTATAATAAATATGGCGAAAAAGATGAGGACAATAGTCCGAATAATGTAAATAGTGTAGATAATATCTCATCTCAGAAATATAGACAGATGCTGAACGGCCGAAACGTTGTAATAAATATAACGACAAAGATGAGGACAATAGTCCAAATAATGTAAATAGTGTACATAATACCTCATCTCAGAAATATAGACAGATCTTATTCTAAGCTTGTGATTCACTCTAGAAGCAACATTTTATTATTTTTTTTTTGTCTCTTTTTAATTTCTCTGTTGTTATTATCACAAGGATTTGGCCGATGTACCTTCTGAACTTCATCAGGTGTCTGTCGATCCTGTTTACCGCCAAGAAGTTTCGAACTGAACCCTTTATTTAATCTACAAGAATAGATTGTTCACGTTCCACTGCCCGTGTCTAGGGGAGATAACTCGTCTTGTTTTTTTTTTTTTTTTTTTTTTTACTACTGCTCAGTTATTGCTTACCCTGTTCCCACCGAGTCTGCTCTATCCAGCCCAGGGATTGAACTCACAATTACTGTGAAACCCAAATCACCAACCAACACCTTAATCTACGAGGCTGTTGTTTTTGAGGGCCAATCCAGAGTGTATTATATCTATATATAAAATAATCCGTTGGTATATAATCCAAGTGAATCCTATTGTACGATATAAAATATTAAATAGTAAATATTAAAACTGATTCACAGTATGTTTTAATTAAACAGAGCAGCATATTTCATACAATAGGAATTAAGATTACAGTAGATTAATGATTGTGAATTGAAATAAAATGTACAAGGATTTTCATTATATATATATATATATATATATATATATATATATATGCAAATATATAGAAAAATAGGAAAGAACACGTTAAGTTAATAATCCGAAGTTCTTTAGTATTTTTATTTTTATTTTTAAAAAACAGTGCTCAATACATAAGTAGAGCCTATGAAACAGGGCTTGTTACTTTAGTTCGATTTCATTTTTACAATTAAATTGAAGTTTTTATCTACTGTTTTTGAATCATGAGAATTATGTAGCAATGGAATCAAATTTTTAAAAAATTATATATATATATATATATATATATATATATATATAATTGCGTATCATGCGATTTTTGAAGGCCTAATTTTGAAGCTAATTTTATGGGGGTCGTAATATAAAATTAGCGTATGGACTACTTGTCCCTGGCTACGCTGTTGAGAAAACTATATATCCATTTACTTTAGTCAAATTATATTCAATATTAGGCCATCAAATGTCTCACGATACGCTAGTATATACGCTAATCTAATCACTTCAAAGTTAACAAACGTCTTGGACTAGTAGGTGTAAACAAGCCAAAAATAAGATGGCAAAAAGGACTAGCTAATGCTTTCTAATGATAAAACGTCACCTAAGAAATTTGGACAACTTCAAACTATTATGTCTAATACTACTATGTATAAATAAGCAAACAAAAATAAAGATGATAAAAAAAAACTATAGTGGGTTATTAGTTATAGTGAAGTTTATGAGTGTTGAAACAGATTAGCTTGATTTGGCCTTGTTAGTTAGATAGCCAACCATAAGAGGGGTATAAAAAAAGAAAAATCAAATTGTAAAATGAAACAACAAATTTTTATACAGATAAATCAATTAAGGTCTCTACAAATAAAATTAAATTAATGTATTTTTGTTGATACAAGGTCGTCAAAATGTTCGTAGTAGTCCTTGCAAGAATGAGTTATGTGTACGTAGGCAGGAACGTACGCGTGGATGTATGTCTGTATGAGCGTTATCGTAGGGTAGGAATGTCTTTGAAGTAATCGCTCAGTCTTAAAATGTTCCGTTCGTTTATCAAGTATAAAAGAGGTGAGGGAGAAAGTTAGAGATAATAATAACGATCGCTTGACGTTTGTCAAGGGACGTGTTAATACGTTCGTCTCCTTCTCTCTGGTGACAGGTGAACTTGCCCGTCTTTTATTTTGTTTGTGGGGCTTGAAAAGGTCATTTGGGAATTCACTCTCGGATATGATTCAGGCCTTTCCATTGGACGACGAACAAATTTCGCATTGGCCCGCGAAAAGGTCCGTAAAAGAATTTGTTTCTGAGAATTGAATATCATTTGAATTTTGTTTTTAAATGTTTCCTAGTTTTCTATTGGCCGAAAAAACCATTTCGCATCAAGGTGGGAAATTTCACAAGTTTTGTTTTGGATTCGCTTTTGCGTGTGTGTTAAGCAAAGTTTGTAAATTCGAGTCTTTTTAATTTCTAACAGATTCAATGAGCCAGTGTTTTAGCTTTTGAATTTTAAATCTAGATCTTGTTTTGTTCACTACAAAACTAGCCGGCATTTTATAATGACAAAGCGTCACCTTAGAAATTTGGATAAATTCAGACTATTATATCTGCTACTACAAGACGTAAACAAGCATAATAAGATGAAAATAAAAACTAGCAAAAAGTTAATAAAATAAATTTGGACAACTTCAGACTATTATGTCTACTACGAGTAGGTATAAAAAAGCAAAAGCAAAATAAAATGAAAAGAAAATCCAGCCAAATGTAATAATAAATTCATGGTATTTACTAAATCAAATCACCCACAAGTCAACAAAATACTTACAGTAGCATTTTAAAAGCTTCAATGATTTTCAATGACATATAATCAGTTTGAATAGAGTCTGGACTTACTTGTTGGGCAACTTGAAGCATTTGGCAAAATCTACTGGAAGTTCGGTAATGCTGTTGCCACTTAAGTTCAAGGTGAGGAGATTTGGCATCAGACCCAGAGATTTAAGGCATTGTCCTGGCAGGTTGTTAAAGGAAAGATCAAGGTGCTGTATGGATTAAAATCAAACACAGAAAATGAGAATATTCATTTGAATTCATTGATTTAATCCTATCTAAGCTTTCGGCTTACATAGGCCATTATCAAAGATGTCAATTACATTACAGTATATTAAGCAATACACGGACAAAACAGTGATGATAGTCTGTTTCTGTTTACATAGAAGATTATTAAGCAACGACAAACTCGTGCATATAAGACGCTGGAAGCGAAAATCACACCGCAACTCATAACGTCACACATGACCACGCGAGAGTGAAAACGAGAAGTATTAAGTATGGGAAGCCGTTGGTATAAACCAATGGCTTCAGTTACTAATTATAGGCATTTAAGAATATTTGTGGAGATTTCATAGTTTATTTTGTTCAGGTTAGGTTTCAACTGTTTTATATATATAGCTTCAAGAATTTCAAGTTTTTGATTATTGTTTAAATGTTTAAGTATAGTTGTGTTTTCAATAAGAATTTTCCGGAATTGTGTATGCGGTCATGTTGTTTTAAATGCCTAAAAATGTTAGAGCTATCATTGAAATGTAGCGTCAAGCGTCGTGAAAGCGGGTTTGTGGTGTCTTATATATATATATATATATATATATATATATATATATATATATATATTTTCAACGAAACATGTCTTAATATATATATATATATTCCTCCCTTTTTTACTTTTCCCCTTTTTTCCCTTTTTCCTTTGTCCCATATCATTTCCGTTAAGTTGACCGATTAAATAGGTCAATTTAATGTCTGATCCTTACCCACTCCTTCCTCAATATTTAGTATTGTAATAAAAAGAAAAAGAAATTTTAAAATTCTCCCTTTCCTCTCTAAACTCAACCATGTCTCTCACACTATTCCTCACCACCTTCTATGTCAACTTATATAAACTTAATACTACCCGTCAAAAGTGTAAATTTTAAATTCATTTTTCGTTTCAACTTTGAAAGTGAAGTCTGAAGATCCAGAGAAAAATAAAGTTCTCTGGTGAAATAAATTATAACAAATGGAGCCTTAAAATGGTCTGTTTTTCTTTAAATTAAATTATTCGGTCTGACTGAACACTGAGCTCTCAGGATTTCATCCTCCTTCTTGGGATTATCCATACGGATTACCAATATTTTCGTTACTTATATATATATATATATATATATGTTAAGATATGTTTCGTTGAATAGTTTAGACGTTCTGTCTATTTATTTTCGATAATATTGCAGTACAAGAGAAAATTGCCGTGTTGATATATATTTCTTTATTTCCAATTACTTTCGACATATCAGTTTCATGATCAGGTTATTGTTTATAACTTATTATTTACTTTCAGATAATGCAACAATTTGTCTTTGACAATCATGAATATTACAATATTTATTTTGTAATAAACAATAATGACACCAAAAAGGTTATCCGCGAGTATGAAAGGAACTTATCGAAAATAAGTAGACAGAACATGTCTAAACTATTCAACGAAACATGTCTTAATGAAAACATGCAGCCTAAATGTATAAATATATACATATATATATATATATATATATATATATATATATATATATATATATATATATATATATATATATATATATATATATATATATAGAGAGAGAGAGAGAGAGAGAGAGAGAGAGATCGTTAATTAATTTGAAACTTTTAAAACCATTTATATCTCATTCAACATCATCACCTGATAAGACACCGGAGGTCTTGAAACAAAATGGCTATTTTTGTGGTGATTTTATAACATATTTATGTTATAATATTTTAAAATAAATAACTATATATATATATATATATATATATATATATATATATATATATATATATATATATATATATGAATGAAGGAGTTGTAGTGAATGAGTTGTAATTAATGAGTTGCGGTGGATTAGTTGTGATGAAAGAGCTGTGATGAATGACATGTGATGAATGAGTTGTGATGAATGAGTTGCAGTGAATGAGCTGTGGTGAATGAGCCGTAATGAATGAGCTGTGATTAATGGGTTGTGCTGGATGAGTTGTGATAATTAAATCGTGATGAATGAGTTGTGGTGAATGAGCTTTGATGAATGAGTTGTGGTGAATGAGTTGTGGTGAATGAGTTGTGGTGAATGAGTTGTGGTGAATGAGTTGGGGTGAATGAGCTGAGTGGAATGACTTGTGGCGAATGAGTCGCGGTGAATGAGTTGTGGCGAATGAGTTGTGATGAATGAGTTGTGGTGAATGAGTTGTGATGATTGAGCTGTGGTGAATGAGTTGTGATGAATGAGTTGTGATGAATGATCTGTGGTGAATGAGTTGTGGCGAATGAGTTGTGATGAATGAGTTGTGGTGAATGAGTTGTGATGAATGAGTTGTGATGAATGATCTGTGGTGAATGAGTTGTGGTGAATGAGTTGTGATGAATGAATGTGAATGAGTTGTGATGAATGAGTTGTGATGAATGAGTTGTGATGAATGAGTTGTGGTGAATGAGTTGTGATGATTGAGTTGTGATGAATGAGTTGTGATGATTGAGCTGTGGTGAATGAGTTGTGATGAATGAGTTGTGATGAATGATCTGTGGTGAATGAGTTGTGATGAATGAGTTGTGATGAATGAGTTGCGGTGAATGAGTTGTGATGAATGAGTTGTGATGAATGATCTGTGGTGAATGAGTTGTGATGAATGAGTTGTGATGAATGATCTGTGGTGAATGAGTTGTGATGAATGAGTTGTGATGAATGAGTTGTGGTGAATGAGTTGTGATGAATGAGTTGTGATGAATGATCTGTGGTGAATGAGTTGTGATGAATGAGTTGTGATGAATGATCTGTGGTGAATGAGTTGTGATGAATGAGTTGTGATGAATGAGTTGCGGTGAATGAGTTGTGATGAATGAGTTGTGATGAATGATCTGTGGTGAATGAGTTGTGATGAATGAGTTGTGATGAATGATCTGTGGTGAATGAGTTGTGATGAATGAGTTGTGATGAATGATCTGTGGTGAATGAGTTGTGGTGAATGAGTTGTGATGATTGAGCTGTGATGAATGAGTTGTGATGAATGATCTGTGGTGAATGAGTTGTGATGAATGAGTTGTGATGAATGATCTGTGGTGAATGAGTTGTGATGAATGAGTTGTGATGAATGAGTTGCGGTGAATGAGTTGTGATGAATGAGTTGTGATGAATGATCTGTGGTGAATGAGTTGTGATGAATGAGTTGTGATGAATGATCTGTGGTGAATGAGTTGTGATGAATGAGTTGTGATGAATGAGTTGCGGTGAATGAGTTGTGATGAATGAGTTGTGATGAATGATCTGTGGTGAATGAGTTGTGATGAATGAGTTGTGATGAATGATCTGTGGTGAATGAGTTGTGATGAATGAGTTGTGATGAATGAGTTGCGGTGAATGAGTTGTGATGAATGAGTTGTGATGAATGATCTGTGGTGAATGAGTTGTGATGAATGAGTTGTGATGAATGAGTTGTGGTGAATGAGTTGTGATGAATGAGTTGTGATGAATGATCTGTGGTGAATGAGTTGTGGTGAATGAGTTGTGATGATTGAGCTGTGATGAATGAGTTGTGATGATTGAGCTGTGGTGAATGAGTTGTGATGAATGAGTTGTGATGAATGATCTGTGGTGAATGAGTTGTGATGAATGAGTTGTGATGAATGAGTTGCGGTGAATGAGTTGTGATGAATGAGTTGTGATGATTGAGCTGTGATGAATGAGTTGTGATGATTGAGCTGTGGTGAATGAGTTGTGATGAATGAGTTGTGATGAATGATCTGTGGTGAATGAGTTGTGATGAATGAGTTGTGATGAATGATCTGTGGTGAATGAGTTGTGATGAATGAGTTGTGATGATTGAGCTGTGATGAATGAGTTGTGATGATTGAGCTGTGGTGAATGAGTTGTGATGAATGAGTTGTGATGAATGATCTGTGGTGAATGAGTTGTGATGAATGAGTTGTGATGAATGAGTTGCGGTGAATGAGCTGTGATGAATGAGTTGTGATGAATGAGTTGTGGTGAATTAATTGTGATGAATGAGCTGTGATTAATGGGTTGTGGTGGACGAGTTGTGATAATTAAATCGTGATGAATGAGTTGTGGTGAATGAGTTTTGTCGAATGGGATGTGTTGAATGTCTTGTTGAAACTCCTTTCCTTAACAATAATAAATGAGTATGCAATCGCTAAATATACCACGTCTCTTGGAATGCAACTGAAAAACATTATGATTATTGAATGTAACAAGTCAACCCTTTTCTTTGTTTTTAATGAATGTTTTTTTTCTAATTCTTAATAGGGTACTGAACTGTAACCTAATATAAGTCCTCCTATATGGATGTGAATGCAAGACAATTTCCTCACAATGAAAAAAGAGGCTTGAAACAAAAGGAATATGCTTCTACAGAACTGGGAATACCATGGAACGTACATGTGAGCAACGACGAAGTTTTGGACGGAATGGAAAAGAAAGGACACATACTTAACAAGAGACAGTTTCTGGAGTACTTTATTAGGAAAGTGGGCTTGGAAAATGTGATGCTCACGGGATAGATTGAAGGCAAGAGGGACAGAGGAAGGCAATGCATAACGAACTTTGTGAGCTTGAGTGAAACAATGGCGGAACAGTGTTTAGGAGAGATGACTACTGTACTGTACTGTACTACTGTACTGATGCGGCATTCACCCTGGGCGGATTGAGCCGGCTTCTTCCTGTTATGAGAAGAACATTCTTGGGATAAATTACAGAAGTAGGGTACCCAGGCCTACTCGGATAACGTTCTTGCTTGCCGCGGGATTCCCACAGACGCAGAGACAGGAACGACCAGAAGCCGCCGGTTACCGATGCAGACGCTCCTTGGATTTTCACCAGAGCCCTTGTTAGCCGGCATGTGTGTCAGACCTGTCCGCCTTGGGTGGCCCTACCAGGAACGCAGTTCCGGGCGGCATAGCTCTGACACTACCGTTTACCTCCCCCCACCGACTGTGAGGTAAGGGTTGGACTTTGGGGGCTTACAGTACCAGGTGTTCCCAAGCGGTCCCCCATCTAAGTACTGACCTGGCTCTACGATGCTTAACTTCGGTGATCGAACAAGAACCGGTGTTTCAGCGTGATTTAACCGTAAGCCAGGAGAGATGACCAAAAAAAAAAAAACTAAATTTATTAAGAGCTACAAAGGACAGGAAATTGTAGAGGGCCATGATCGCCTATGCACTGAAGAGATACAGCAGACAAGAAGAAGATCCATTCAACATAACGTTCATTCGAAAACGATTCAAGGGTAGAATATCATTAAGTGATTAACCTCTTTGAATGTCCGCCATTAGACATTCAAAGAGGCTCCTTGCTTTCAATGTCTCAACTTCACCTCAGACCTAAAGTGGAACTCAGATATTCGATCCATCGTTAAAGATGCTGGAAAAATGGTAACTTCTGTAGACTTCTTCAGAAAGTACCTCTATCTTTACAAGAGTCAGATCAATCAAAATAAATGGAGTCTTACTGCCATATCTCGTTTGGAGCTGCCCAATTCCTACTTTCCAACATTGACAGAATTCAAAAGCGTCCTTGTGGGTGATGATTTATTTTCCACCCTACCCCCCTTTTATCACAGAAGAAAGGTTGCAAGTCGATTGTCAATCTCTTTCTGTTTCCATGGCAACTATTCTGACGAGCTACATTCTTTAGTTCCACCATTTCATTCTCTTTATAATTAAGATCCACCACGCAGTGTCAGTCATTTAAGTGCCATGCGTGATACACGATTGGTCGATCATATATCTTTCGATTCAGGACTGACTTTGCAGAAGATTTACCTACAGTAGGTTGGCGTTTCTTTCTGCTATAGACTGGTTGCTAAGCGTTTTTGCGCGTGAAAGAAAGCAACATACCTGGCCGATTTATCATTCAGATCCGTTTATCCGTGTGCACCCTGACTAAGACCATTCTCATTCCCTACGTATTCCGTTGGTAGTAAGAAATAAACTCCCTTCGAGCAGCTTCTTTCTAAGAACAGGCTTCTTCGTAGAACAGACTCCCGAGTAGGTGCTTTCCCGATCAATACAATCGTGAAGCACCTAATTCAAATTTCGGTTCAACCGTTATCTATTAATAGTATGCAATTTTTGTTCTCTCCTTTTTTTTTACGTCCATATAACAAACTCATTTCGTAATCCTCTAGCTTGAGTGGCTCTTGGGTATTTTATTGGGAGAACAGTATTAAAATATGGATTAATGTACTTCTCTTCTTTTTATTTACATGAGGTAGTACTTGGGCAGTTGGAAGATTTTAATCGGGCGTAACAGTCCGAATTTGGATGTCGGGCTCGAAACCTGGCCTCATAAAACTTTCCTTGTTATGGAAATGGGTGTGGTTGCAGATCAGGGTAAAGGTCATGTCAGAGAGAGAATAGATGGATTCATACCTTCCTAATTGATATTTGCGCGTAAGCGAATGTAATGATCTTGAGGAAAAAAAATCTGACAAGAACAGTATGGGTTCGTTAAAGATATTGAAAGTAAGGAACGCGATATTTTTGCTCAGAATGTTATCAGAAAGAGCAATACAAATGCAGAAGGACATGTAGCAGTGTTTTATACACTACGCAAAGGCGTTCGATAAAGTAGGATGCCAAGATCCATTGGAACTGATTAACAACTTTGACATATTTGGGAAGTCTATTTTCATATCTTTTTTTTTATCGCTTTCTTTCTAATCTATCTTTTCTCCACCCGCTCCGTTATTTTCCTTCTCTCTTTGGCACTCGCTTTTCATTTTTCTCTCTCTTCTCATCTTATCTCTCTATTATGCTCTCTCTCACCCTATCGTCTCCCTCCTCCTATATTCTTTTTCTTCTCATTGCTTTTCTTCTCTATATTCCTCTATACTCACTCTCTCCTATCTTCTCTGTTTTTCTTTCTCTTTTCTTCAATCTCTTTTTTCTGCCTCTTCCCGTCATTCTTCTTGCTTTTCTCCTCTCCCATTCTCTCTCTCTTCATCTGTCTCTTCTTGTTGTGGTACGATACACCTAATTTACATAAGTGGAGTACCGACCATATAAATATGGGTTGGTACCGGGAAGACAGGGGGAGTAAGAAGAGATCGAATCGAGAGACTCTGCCCGACTGCGATTAAGTCAACCCATTCTACAGGAACAGTCTTCCCAAGAATATACCAAAACTAACTGTAAATATTGTGTACCTTTTCCTTGTTTCAATACATTTTGTTACGTACATTTTGTGTTGTATTATTATTATTCCATGCTTATCCAAGTTTCAACACTTCTTTTCTCCCTTCTATTCTCTTTTGCCTTTTCTCTCTCTTCAACCATTCACATTTATCTTTTCTTATCTTTTCTCTCTATTCTTCTCCAGTATACTTTCTTTCTTTCTTTCTTTCTTTCTTCTCTCTCTTTTTCTCTCTATTCTCCTAGCCTTTCTCTTTTCATTTTGTCTCTCTTTTTCTCTCTCCCTTATATCTCTCCTCTCTCGCCCCCTCTCTACTTTTCTTCCATATGCTCTCTTTTTTCTTTCGCGTTCCCTCTCTATTCTCCTATCCTCTTTCTTTTTCTCCTTCATTTCTTTTTCTCTTCTCCCATATTCTCATGCATTCTCTCCTATCTTTTCTTTTTCTTCTCTCTTCCCCACTCTCTTCCATCTATCTGCCTTTCTTTATCTCTTTTCTCTATATTCTTCTCCTAGTTGCTTTCGTATATTGTCTATCTTTTTTCTATTCTCTTCTCCCCTCTCTCTATTCTCATTTCATCTCTCTATCTCTCTTCCTCTCTCTCTTATATCTTCTCTCTCTATTTTTCCTCATATGCTCTCTTTTTTCTTTCTCGTTCCCTCTCTATTCTCCTATCCTATCCGTCTTTTTCTTCACTACTATGTTCTCCTTTTTTCTCCTCTTCCTATCTCTTTCTTCTCCTATCGTCTCACTTCTCTCATATTCTCTCTATTTTCTCCCCCTCTTATCTCTTCTCTTTTTCTTCTCTCTTCTCCACTCTCTTCCAAACTCTCTCTTTTGTTTTCTCTCTCTTCCCCTCTTTCATTACAGCTTCCCTTTCCGTATCAAAATATTATAATATTTCCATGTTTTTAAGACATTCTTTAGCGCGTAATCATTCACTTCAATGGTATAAAATCAATATGACCAAGGTATACATGTTTATCATAATTAAACATTATTACAACGTGTAATTATGGACTATGCAGCAAATAAATGCTGTAAACACAAGACTGTTCTTGTACTGCCTGATCCACAAAATGCTGCTGCTGAATAATGGCATCATGAGAGTATATCCAGTGGCTGATGTCTTCAATTCCAGCGTAAGCAGCCCAGCCATCTGAAACGGTATGGCGTTCAGGCTGAATATACAGCACAGTCGCCTCTTTCAGAGTCTCAGACGTTCTCAAACTCCGCTCGATACCACCGAATATCAGTGTGGCCAATGGAGTCCTGACTACAATGATATTCACGATGAAAAAAATCATTTAAAGATATAAAATATCTTCCCTTCTTTCTCTCTATTCTTCTAGTTTCTCTCTCTCTCTCTCTCTCTCTCTCTCTCTCTATTCTCATTTCTTCTATCTTCTCTATTTTTCTTCCATATACTCTCTTTTTTCTTTCTCATTCCCTCTCTATTCTCCTATCCTGTCTTTTTCTTCACTATATTCTCTTTTCCTCTTCCTATCTCTCTCTCTCCTCCTATCATCTCTATTTTTCCCTCTCTTACCTTTTCTCTCTCTTCCCCTCTCTCATTATAGCTGCCCTTTCCATGTCGAAATATTATATTTCCATTTTTTTTAAGTCCAGACATTCTTTAGCAGGTAATCATTCACTTCAGTGGCATAAAATCAATATGACAAAGGTATATATGTTTATCGTAATTAAACATTATTACAACGGCTAATAATGGACTATGGAGCAAATAAATGTTGTAAACACGGGGATGTTCTTGTACCATAGGAGCCACAAATTGCTGCTGTTAAATAACGACGCCATGAGAGTAAAACCCTTGGCTGATGTCCTCGATTCCAGCATGAGCAGCCCAGCCATCTGAAACGGTATGGCTTTCAGGCTGAATATACCACACAGTCGCTTCTTTCAGAGTCTCAGCTCACCGATCCAGCATCTCAACTATGAAACACGTACTCAAACTTCACTCGATACCACCGAATATCAGTGTGGCCTGTTGACCATGTTCGCCATAGCCTATGTATATAGAATCCAGCGCAGTACATAATCTGTTCAATGAAACAACGTTAAAGATTAACACCCACGAGTCAGACACTCTACTGAATCTGATTCTATCGCCAATACCACCAGCAGCTGTTCCGTAATTCTTCAGTCTTCGATATCAAAGGCTGACAGTGCATATTCGGGAAAAACATGGCCGCCTTTATACACGTCGCATTGAATATTTTGAGCCTTCTGATTGGTTAACCATTCTATTGGTGAACTATAAAATGAGTCAGCTCATTTTGGCTGACTCACTAGTACTGGGGTACCCAAAAATTCCAACATGGCCAATGGAGTTCTGTTCATAGTGATATTCACCATTAAAAACCATTTAAAGATATAAAATGATAGTTTTTTTTTACGCCGTTTAAGTGAAGCAGAACTTTGACATTATTTTACGCCGCTTAAGTGAAGGTTTACCCCAAGTCAATATAAAATCTCACCTGCAAGTAAGGGAAGTCTCCATATTTTACTTTCAAACTGTTCATGCCATTTAACGGCAGTTCAAGTTCTTGCAGTTGAATGAACGTTGTAAATGCCTCTGGAAAGATAAAGATATTTCGGTAACCTTTAACATTTGTTTAAAAAGGTTTTTTTTTCCTTCGACAGTGCTATTAGTTTTAACTACCTTCACTCCACGGCAATGTTTATTGATTTAAAAAGCAATGGTTAAAATTTTGATAAGACGTAACATATAAAAGTGGATTTATACATTTTCTTTGTTCTTGAGAATTGACAACAAAAATAATAAACGCTATTTATAGTATTTATTGGAATGGTTGGCAAAACATCCACTGATTGTCAATCAATCCGAACTTTATAAAATGGCAGATAAGCATATATTTTGATAATTTATTAATTTTTTTATAAATTTATGAATAAAAAAATTCTTTCGTATTTATTTATTTATAAATTAGTAAACGAAAAATTGTGTATTACATTAGTTTTAATACGATTGTATTAGTTTTAAGAATGTTGCAAATATAAAATTATTCTTGTAAATAGTCAGTTTTTTCTTTAAGTTGGTTAGTTACTGTGAAACTGATATGAACTCTCCAAGAGCAGGTCAGAAATTTATTATGAAGAGATGGACAGTACTCATGTTAATGAAATGGACGAATGCTTTGTAACCATTGTTGGAGAGATGAATAAAACTAATTTTAAATGCTACCACCCTGGGTCCACATGCAGTTAAGAGGCCTTGCTGTTGGACGTAGTTTATTGCCTTACCCAGGACGCGGGTGTAGTTTATCGTCATACCCAGGACGGTGGAATCACTGGAAAAGTTTTCTCAATTATCAAGTCCTTTCTAACAGGTAGGTCCATGAAGGTAGTTGTTAAGGAACCGGTCCTCCGAGGCCATAGTGAACAATACAGTTGTCCCCTAGGACTCGTTTCTCAGTATCGCCCTCTTTCTAATTTACATAAATGATCTGCCTAAGAGTATACTTCAATCATTTGTGAATATCCAGATCAGGCCCAAACTGAAGTACCGCTGCTATATTTGGGCAGGAGATATCAGTCTTTACTTTCCAGTCTCGATAGTGTGTCGGTGACCTTGTGGGTGACAAATTATTTCCCACCCTTAAACCCCTTTCCCATAGATGAAACGTCGTAAGCGTCTCGCTGCACTATCGCTATTTCCAAAGAAAGTGTTTAGATCCTCGTAATGAATTGACTGACAAGCGCCTGTTGATATCAAACTTGAACACAAGAACAACCCGATATGGATCCTGATAGATGGTCACCTTTTGACAAAAATAAAGCCCTTTTGCTACCGACGAAACATTGCAGGCCTCTCGCTGCTCGATAGCCATTTCCATGGAAAGCTGAACTACATTAGTTCTAACCATAACTATTAAGACCACGCCATGCCACGCCTATTGTAGCGAGCCGCCCTCATTCTCTTCATATTCCATTGGTGAGATGTTCGTTCCACTGATGATGCTTCTTCGACAAACCACTGTGCGCAAACGTATATGCATATATAGGTACCGCCAAAGACTCGCTAAAAATGCACTTACATGATGAGAAATATCCTAAACTTAAAACAGACATTGTGACAAGAATAAGGTCTGTTTACTACAGACGAAATATTGCATGCCTCTCGCTGCTGGATTGCCATTTCCATTGAAAGTCGAACTACATTCCTTAGTTCTAACCTTAACTGCTATGCCCTCGCCATGCCACGTCCATTGTAGCATGCCACCCTCATTCCCCACGTCTTCCATTGGTGAGAAGAAAGTTCCACTTTTCTTCCTCTGAAACACTGCTCTGTGGAACCGAATCCCAAGAGGAAGTTTTTTCGATCACTACAATCTTATCCTGTTCAAATCTAGGGTCAACCGTCATCTATCCCACATATCCGCATAAACTCTGCCTCTTACTCTGTTCGTTTTACCTCGACTAGAAAGAATAACGAAATTACTATCAAAATGAAGGAAATTTATTTCTCTTCAAAATTACGATAAATTGATATAATGATAGAATACAGATTCAGGCAACACGTATTTGTACGCATACAAACGCAGACACAAGTTCGCACACGTATATGCATATATAGATACTACCAAAGACTCGCTAAAAATCCACTTACATGATGAGAAATATCCTAAACTTAAAACAAAGACATTGTGACAAGCATAAGGCCCGTTTACCACAGACGAAACATTGCATGCCTCTCGCTGCTCGATTGCCATTTCCATTGAAAGCCGAACTACATTCCTTACTTCTAACCTTAACTGCTATGCCCTCGCCATGCCACGCCTATTTTAGCAAACCACCATCATTCCCTTCATATTCCATTGAGATGTCAGCTCTACTTGAACAATTTCTTTCCCTGAACCACTCACGCACACAAATCGCTGATTTATGTAACCGACTCTCAAGAAGATGCTTACCCGATCACTATAATCTTAATCTCTTCATGTCTAGTGTTAACCTTCATCTTCACTACATATCCTCGTAATGAATTAACTGACAAGCGCTTGTTAAGCAATCGCCCTGATATCAAAATTGTACACAAGATCAGCCACATATGTATCCTGATAGATAGTCGCCTTTTGACAAGAATAAGGTCCTTTTGCAACAGACGAAACATTGCAGGCATCTCGCTGCTCCAGTGCCATTTCCATGGAAAGCTGAACTATATTCCTTAGTTCTAACCTTAACTGTTAAGAGCCACAATGCCACGCCCATTGTAGCGAACCACCTTCGTTCCCCTCATACTCCAGCAGCTTTCTCCCATAAATCACTGCTTTGTGAAACCAACTCTCAAGAGAATGCTTCCTCGATCCCTACAATCTTAACAAGTTCAAGTCATTATCTTACCCATCGTATACTCTCCCGTCGTAGATCGTTACGACTCGTTGACTCGCGCCTACCAGGGTTTCTAAGCCCGGCTAGGCAGTAGAAGGAAGCTAAAGATCCCTGCCGAACCGCTTTCGCCGCGACACTTGTCACTACGACGTATGAGGGTCAGACCACTCAGTTCGTAGGAACCGACAGCCAGACAAACTGCACATATGATTTGATCATAGTGGTGAAGGTTTTGTGCAGAACCAACCACACTTTTTGAAGAGCTCAATAAAGAGACCTGTTGCATTGTGCGCCACGAAGATCCCTAAACAACCCGAAGAGGGTTTTGAATTCATAATTGTCCTCCTCCTAGACCAGTTGCCATCCAAGGCTATAGAACCTAGTGTATAAACTCTTTCTCTTACTCGGGTGACTCTTGAGCCTTGTATAATGTGAATTTCTTTTCGGTTTTCTATCACATTGAATACTGAAACAGGTGAGTATGGATACTGACACCTGATTATTAAGTAGCAAAATGAACTGTAAATTCCTTTAAGATTCAAGTTTAAAACATTTTCATTATTGCTCCAGTGAGCATCTTAATAAAAATACTATGTTATGGTATAAAACATACAAAAAACAAAAATTGGATCATTTTAATATGGAAAAGAAAAAATGTTATCCAATGTTGAAATTAAAAATTGATATCAAATTTGGTTATTTTACAACGGCCAAACTGGAGGAATGGGGCAGTGCCAGTCGGGCTGGCGTAACCAAGGCGTACCTTGACAGACAAAACATCCGCCAGGCCGATGAAACCAGGTTCGCCAGATCTAGTCGGTCTTAATCATGTTTGAGCCTCGAGTTAGGCGCTTCTGGCCAAGTTTATGGGCATTCTCCGTTACGTAGAGTTGTCAACAAATTCGCGCAAATGGACCTCGTCAAACTCACTTTGATTTACAGCCATCTTGGCCACCACCACCACCACCGCCATAAGGGAGAAAGGGAATACAAAGAGACAATCGCGGTGCCCGGTTGTGAGCGGGTGCCAACAACAACAATGGGTCATTTAAATATAGAGAAAAAATTTTTCCAATGTCAATTTCTGCTTAAAGTGGTGGAATTAAAAATGAACTTTAATATCAAATTGCGTCATTTTAATACAGAGGAGAAAATGTTATCGGAGGTCAGTTTCAGCTTAAACTGTGGAAAGAAAACTTAGCTTTAATACTGAAATGTCACCTTTTATCACCTGATACACAAAATGTTACCCAAATTTTCCAAAGTTTCAATAGTGCAGATAAACTTAACCGGTTTTCAACCTTCGCCTCTCCTTTTTGTGAACCACATATGAAAAGTCTACATTTTTAAGTTTTTGAGTAAGAAATACTTCGTTAAGTTTAAATTTCTCAAAGCTTTATTTTTGCATCGTTTAAATATATATATATATATATATATATATATATATATATATATATATATATATATATATATATATATATATAATATGTAATAAAACTCAAGTCATATAAATGGATACAAATGACCAGAATTTAAAATATTTTAAGCTTGATTAGACAAGGTATTAAGAAACAGGTAAATTTTGATAGAAACAAAGAAAAGAGTACTTAATTGTTATGTAATTCGGCCTTTCAATATGGCAGTTAACACCACTTGGAAAAAAAATTCACTACATAATTCCAACATTGAATACAGCAACGAATTGCGTACGTATGCACGCAACGACGCATGAATGCGCATATACGCCCAGTCCAACACTGTTTATATATGTTTAAATTTGTGTGAGTTGCAATGCGTCAACATGCGTGTATGTATGTCTGCGTAAGTATGAGTGGCGTTCCGACGACAATTTTTGCTTCCACTTCCATAAAAACACCGATATACGCAACCATAAATAATTCCAAAATTTCAAAATTAATCAGTTTGTCTGACGATCGCAAAGGGCGTGAAACCCAGGGTCACAAACTATATATATATATATATAATATGAAATGGACAATTATTTTAAAGACATTTTTATGTTTATACATTCTTTCTTACAGATACAAATATTTAAGTAAATCCTCTGTTTTATAATAAACAGTATTAAACCACATTTACCGGCCTGAATCGAACCTGTATCCTATACGGAACCGTCATATAGCCTGACGTGCTTTTATGTATAAACATAAAAATGTCTTAAAATAATTGTCGGACTTTGTCCATTTCATAATGTGTGACGTCATTTGTTTACATTTGGATACGCATTGAACAGATATGAATGTACGTGAGAGAATCATGTAAGATTGTACTTTAAAAACAGTAGAATCGACCTTGATAACCTGACGCTTCTCTGTGGCGAAATCGGTAAAAGCACGTCAGGCGATATGACGGTTTCGTATAGGATACAGGTTCGATTCTTGTCGGAGGACGAATATTTTCTATAAAAAATTCTCGGACATTCAGGCCTGTAAATGTTGTTTAATACTGTTTATTATAAAACAAAGAATGTATAAACATAAAAATGTCTTTATATATATAAAGGAAAAAAGACAATAAGAAAACTACTTTTAGTCGGTGCGTTTCGTCCAATGTGGACTTTTCAGGGCAAAAAACGAAATTAATTTATTGAAACAAAATATTTTTAAACAACAAACAAAATGTTGTTAGCAACTAGAATTTAGAAAAGCTATTGTATATTCATATGGTCAACTGAAAAAATTTTTTTTGTTTTGTTTCTTTGTCATTTTGTCTATGATTTTAGCCGATTGTGTCAATAAAAACTCCGTTAGACGAAACGCGTCGGCTAAAACTAAGATTTTTTCCAATTGTCATTTTAAACCATATATATATATATATATATATATAAACATTTTCAAGGCAAAAATGAAATCGAAATGTCTTTGTTGTTATAGCTACATTAAAAAATCAAAATTTAAAAAGATAGACGCTTCCGTCTAAGTCTTTTCCTGGTTAATGTAAATTTCCTTTATACTAAGAGATTTTTTTCCATGTCGACAATACAGTTAAATTCCCAGATCAATTCCCAGATCAATGTATATATATATAAACGCACATATATAGATAAATATGAAACGACTGAGATAAAAGTATATGAAAAGTTTGAGATAGATAGATAGATATGGACAGAGTGAGATAGATAGATAGATAGATAGATAGATAGATAGATAGATAGATAGATAGATATGGACAAAGTGGAATAGATAGATAGATATATATGGACAGAGTGGAATAGATAGATAGATAGATAGATAGATATGGACAGAGTGGAATAGATAGATAGATAGATAGATAGATATGGACAGAGTGGAATAGATAGATAGATAGATAGATAGATAGATATGTATGTGCCGAACAAGTCGAACTCTGCACAAAGAACATTGTAACAGAGTTAAAAATGCCTTATTTACAGCAAACGATAGCACAGATAAGCAATAACCAAACCAATAAACCAATAAAAAAAAACTCAATACCCAGTGTACTAATAGCAGGAAAGATGTTGAAAGACCAGATATAATAGAAAATCTATCGGATATAAAGCAATCCAATATCGAACTGGAAGCCGTCACCTTCGATTTGAAATTTGCTACTGGGATTCATAACTTAGATTTTATTGACACAACCGTCAAAAATCATAGATAAAAATAACACAGAATTCGCCAAAGGCTTCATTCAATGAATAATCATAGCCGCTATAGAAACCAAAAACGAAAGAACTTTACCACAAAGACGTATAAATGCACTAAGGAACCTAGCAATATATATATAATGTAAATAATTAAATAAGTATTTGTTAGTACAGGAATTGTGTATATTATTAGGTTGGTGCAAAAATAATAATGTAATAATGTCGTTTTTTGACCTTAAAAATACATCAAAAAGCGACATTATTATGTCATTATTTTTGCACCAACCTAATAATTGAAACAAAACGAATAATTCCATTATTTACTTTTCTTTGTATGTTTTCCAATGAAACATGACCCAGTGCACATGTTAGTACTTCGTATGTCCATTCCACGAAGACGTTCCTTGCAGACTCGCCACAGATTCTCAATTGGATTTAAATCAGGAGAGTTTCCAGGCCAGTCAATAGGACTTTGATTTGCTCGTTGGTAAGGCTTGCCTGTGTGTTCGTGCAGCGTTACAATTTTCGTACGCTTCCTTGGAGTAACATCCATCGCAAACAATGGCCGTAGGACAACTAATCGACAGTCGAGACAATAGTGCCTGAGCGTGGTGGAAATCTGATGGAATCACGGATGACGCAATATTTTTCAAGGCCAAACAAATTTCATCATACAGCCCGAAAATAGATTCATATTACTGCACACCACTGCAAATGACCTAATCTGGGGGGAGAATCGATTGCATCCTGTCACTTCAGCGGGTCTAAAACTGACTGTATGGTGAAAGAAAGGAAACTAAAGTGGTTGTTTCAATTAATTTGCACAAGGGTGTATAAGACTTACCTAAATTGAGTCGGTTCTCGCTTGCACTGATGCATTGTACTTTATCAAATAAAACGAAGTCTTCGGGGCTGGTATCAGTAAAGCCTTGCCCATCAATATTTACGGAAAATACTTCGGTAGGATCTTCTGCATGACTGTGTCTTAACTGGAATACAATGAAAACAACATGTTCAGAAGCATTTCCCTTATATTATTAAAAATCTCAAAACAGAAATGTTTATTATGCAATTATCTATGTAGCCTTGTTAGGTCCAGAAATAAAGACACAAAGGAATTGTGTCAAAGAAATATATTAACAGATACAGTAATACAAACATATACAAACGAGAGTGTTACAGCAAGAATGTTCGGTTCGACTGCTAGAGCTGACTGCTGGAAACTTCCCTCTCGAAATGGCAGTACCTGCTCCTATTTATAGCTGGGAGATAACATGCGTGCGTGGGCGGGTAAATTACCATAACACTATGACAGCCATGTAATTCGTAATCAAGGTTGATTGATTTCCTTTTTTTCTTTTTGACGCCTTATCAACCCTTTGGGTGTTGTTTAAAACTGATTCATATAATTCAGGTCTCAGTTGTTGTCGAACTCTCTGCCTTTCGCCAGAGAGGAACCCGGACGAGGCTCTGTCTTTGGGCAAAGTCTCGTCCGGAGAGGTAGACAGACCCGAACCCGTTTATGCGGGGTTACAGGAAATTTTTGGACGAGCCTACTGGCTTGGATTACCCCACATTAAACACGGTTTTGTGCCACATTCTACATCGTGGGGAGGCTGGTAAATTTTGTCTAACTGGGTTCTGTTGAGTACGACTCATACTTACGCGAGAACTACCGACCTTTCAATAGTAGCATTCACTACTGGATTGGCTTGCGACGATCGTGCACATAACTGTTACTTTTCTTCCTATTGTACTGGTTTTACAATAAACCTTTACTTACTTTATCCACCGTGTTTGTCAAGTATATATTCCTATTAGCACGGAATATATCACTTCCTGACTTTCAATGCATTTCTATAGAAAATTATATCCAATGTATTTACGTTATCCATATCATAGTGCTATTCTGCCTGACAACGTACAATACCGTCCCAGTGCATGTATATATTAGGTCATCCCATAAGTTCTGTCCGAATTTTAACTTTTTGTTAATTGAACGAAATTTATAGAGTATTTTATAATGTCTAATGGAGCTGAACATTATTCTTATATTTAGATGCATTTAAACTGATCAAATTTTATTTCAGAGAACAATAAAATTAAATTTTGTTTGATTAAAACCCTGCTAACATGGAAGTACCCAAGAATCATTTGAGGCACATAATGCTTTATGAGTTCAAGAAAGGAAACTCAGCAGCCAAAGCGGCTAGAAACATTCACTCAGTTTATGGAGAGGAATGTGTGAATGAAAGAACTTGCAGAAGATGGTTTGCAAAATTCAGAGGTGGAGATTTCACCCTTGAAGATGAAGATCGAACCGGATGTCCAGTTGAGTTTGATGAAAAGCTTCTTGAAGCAGCACTTGAAGAAAATCCTGCTTTATCAGTTGAGGAATTGGCAGTGGTTCTCAGTTCAAACCATACAACTGTTCACCGTCATCTTCAACAACTTGGAAAAGTTCCTAAACTTGGAAAATGGGTGCCTCATGAATTGTCTGAAAACAACTTCAAATCCCGAGTTGACATCTGCTCTTCTCTCCATTCTCGCCAACTTGTTTCACCTTTTTTGGATAGACTTATGACTGGCGACGAAAAATGGATCTTTTATTGACAATGCGCGACCCCACACAGCAAGAATCACTTCACAAAAGATCGAAGAACTTGGTTGGGAGAAAATCCCTCATCCACCTTATTCTCCCGATCTTGCTCCTTCAGACTACCATTTACAGAATCATTTGGAAGAAACAGCTTTTGTAACACAGGAAGAGGTTTAAAACTGACATTTGTGAGTTCTTCGAATCAAAGCCAAAAGAATTTTACAGTAATGGAATTAGTAAGCTTGTTAATAGATGGAAGGAAGTCATAGATAATCAGGGAAAATACATTGTTGATTGAATCTGTAATTAAATGTAACATTTGGTCACTTGTTTTCTTTATTCAAAATTCGGACAGAACTTATGGGATGACCTGATAAAAAGAAATTAGTTTTTATAAAAAGCAACAAAAAATTCGAATCAAAGAAAAGTTAGGCAAGATATTTCATAAATAACAAAATTCTTAAACTAAGGAATCCAAACCACTTAAAAGGATTAGGCCTTTTGCCTTGCTTTGTTTATTTCCAATCGATTAAGGCGATTACGACTTTTCCTTGCTTTGTTTATTTCTAATCAATTAAGACGATTAGGCCTTTAGCCTTGCTTTGTTTATTTTTAATCAATTAAGACGTTATATTCTGTCTCAAATTAGATCCCTTTCGGATTCACTCTACATATCGGCCAAATGTGAATGCTAAGAAAGCAAAAATCATGAATAAAATGTTTGCCTTTGCACAAAGGCTCCAAGCAACACATCCGGCTCACAAAAGTATAAAATATTTTTAAAAAATCATGAACATTGTTGCAAAGAAAAAAAAAACAAACAAAAAAAAACATGAAAAATGATGAGTTTACGAGCCACCACATTTGCTTTTAAGAATGCTACTCATAACGACGGAAATAGAATCCCGGCGGACGGGCAAACTTCAACTATTCTGCCATTGGCAATTTCTAAACGTCACCACCGACCCAACACACGCATCAACTCCAGGCTCTACCAACCCTAATCTTCCTTTAAGTCACTTCCCTTGCCCACAAAGAAACATTCCACTCACATCCTCTGTTTTCTCATGCTATCATACACGTGTTATAAGAAAGATGTTAAAATAATACCAGAAAAAATCCGTTCAGTTTTCTTGCTTGGTCTTCATCTTGCATCTGATAATCTGTTCCCACCTGCAACCTTTCCGTTGTGCCATGCACCTGCGATTTTATTTCCTCAAGTGTCTTGTAATTTTTGCTAAGAATTACCTTGAAGCGTCGCTGCTGTTCCTCGTTGTATAACCGAAGCCATGCACCTGGGAGACATTAAAAACAACTTGATGACCAATTCTACAATGAAAAAATTAATTCTAATCAAATTCATTTTCTTAAACATAACAAAATGTATTATAAAATTGTTTAAAATAACATCCTTCCTTGTAACTGTTGTGGCCTTTACCTGCTCAGCTGAATCGGCTCCACCATATCAACACACCACATCCTAACGAAAGTTGACCACATGTGCATCTTTGAAAATATTTTCCCTAATTATCGATTAGTTCGTTATCCATCCTTTGCAGGTTATTTAAAGCCAGAAAATATTTTTGATAGTGATATTTTTTTTAGAGATAATAACGGTTTAGTGATACAAGTATTACTAATTAACCCATAGCTGAGGGGAGCATAGACCTGTTCATTTGGTCGCGCAAACCCACAATAGGTGTTTCAGTGGGAATTTTGGATTCACAAGCGATCCCCAACTGCACGTTTTACACTTCTCCTAGACTGGTTGCCATCAAGGCTATAGGACCTAGTCCGTTCTTCTATTTTATCCATAGCTAGGGGAGACGATTCATATTTTTCCTAAGAGAATACCACATAAGTGAATGTAATGAACTCGAATCGAATTTGAACTCGGCGCTCTGATTTCTCAGTCCAAGCCTCTAACCATTACTCCACCGTGGATTAGAATATAAGATTGGAAATAATTAAAATTCATATAACACATAAGGCCAATAAACTGCATTAAGATTTGAAGTTTGTTATCATCATCATCATCATCATCATCTTACTTATTATAAAACCCAGGTTGTGTGTATGTGTCTGTACGTTTATATATTGGATCGGATTTCCTACATTTTTCAACCGATTTCAACAAAACTTCACAGGACTACGTAAAATTACCTTGCGGTGGTTCTGACAGTGCCAAAAATTGGAAAAACACAATTGTTTTTGCACGAAATCAATTTGAAAACACAATTAAGAGGCATCGCGAGAATGGAAGGAGGACAACTCATATCGAGTTTTACTTATTATAAAACCCATGTTGTTTGTTTGTTTGTGTGTGTGTGTGTGTGTGTGTGTGTGTGTGTGTGTGTGTGTGTGTGTGTGTTCGTTTATATATGGGATCGGATTTCCTACATTTTTCAACCGATTTCAACAAAACTTCACTTTTTTTTGCAGGTAGTGTTTCTTATTGTCTTGCACGCTTCTTTCTTTATTTTTACCTTCAGAATGCTTTAAAAATTCCATTTACAAGACAATTGTTTATAATAAAATTCTATTCAATCGGTAGACTCATAACGATTGAAAACAACGTTTTTGTTTAAATTTGGGTTTGACCAATTCGTAAAAAAAAAAAAATAATTAAGACATGCGTGTCCGTCAACCTTAAACAATAATCTTTGTCAATTTTATTTTTCAGTCTTTATGATGGTCGATACTTGATCTATCTCGTACTGTTACATCCCCGGAGCAACTCCGGGCTCTACGTTAGTCAATCCTATGACTGGGTGTGGTCATACGTTCATACCCAGTCCTCGGTTGAAAGCTAGAGAGGTATTCATTCATGCGTAGCATGTCTGGGGCAAGTAGAGAGCCCATCTCTCCCCAGTTCAAACTACAGCTGATGTTTTCCATATTGAAGGCTTTCCCTGGTCACGGCTGTGGTAATTGGTGTCCTCAGGAGAGCCCTCCACCCTGACCATTGACTAACGTAGGAAGTCTTATAGATCCCAGTCTACTCCATTGTGCATTTCGGTATTTCGTGTTTCGATAGAAGCAGTAAAAAAAGAAGGCCAGGATGCATAATCTGACGTCAGCAGAAATTGCCAACTTGGCATATGATTATTCATATGGCACTGTTTCCGAATATGTAGTTTTTTTTCCTAGATGAAATTCCTGCAGTTGATTGGACGGACCACTTATAACAGCTAACAACTCAATACGGAGAATATGTAAGCGCAGTTGATGCTGCCAGAGAATAAGTTAGAATTAGACAGGGTAAGGAAACGTTGTCAGTGCTAACTAGCAGAGTTCTAAGCCTGGCCAAAATAACATTTAAGGACGGTGTACAGGGAGTAGAATATTACACAGGCACCAATAGAAACACGTAAACTCGTCATCCATATTCTGAAGAAAAGAGAGCGCAGCAGAATCAGGCCAGAGATAGGACAAGAACAGTGCGGGTTTGTTAAAGACACCGGAACAAGGAACGCGATATTCATGCGTTGAATGTTAGCAGAAAGAGCAATACAAATGCAGAAGGACATGTATCTATGCTTTATAGACTACGCAAAGGCGTTCGACAAAGTATGCCACAAGGATCTGCTGGAACTGCTCAACAACCTTGATATATTCTGGAAAGATATTAGAATAATCAAGAATCTATACTGGCAGCAAACGGCATGTATGCGCATTGAGAATGAGTTCAGCGGATATACAAAAATAAAAATGGGCGTAAGCCAAGGATGTGTTTTTTCACTGGACTTATTCAATCTATACAGCGAGGTTATTCTGATGGAACAGGAGATCTTACCGGGATTCAGCATTGGTGGTTACAACCTTACCAGCATAAGATACGCAGATGACACAGTACTGATAGAAGATACGGAAAAGAAACTACAAAACCTCCTACAGAAGGTAGCGAGGGAGAGCGAGAAGAAAGGACTAACCATAAACTACAAGAAGACAGAATGCATGGTCATCAGTAAAAGGATGAACCCGAAATGCGATTTGGAGGTTGGGGATTTTAAAATCAAGCAGGTGCATAAGTTTAAATATCTGGGAAGTGTTTTGACGGAGGACTGTAAGTGTGACGCTGAGATCTGAATATGCATTGGGATGGCCAAGGGTGCATTCCAAAAGGTGGGTAGAGTACTGCAAGACAGGAGGATTTCTTTGGTGACAAAGAGTACTGTGCTTCTACGTGACATCTGTCCTCCTATACGGCAGCGAATGTTGGACGGCCTCCTCAAAAATGAAGAAGAGACTCGAGGCAGCGGAGATGTGGTTCTACAGAAGGATGCTAAGGATAACATGGGCCGATCGTGTGAACAACGATGAGGTCTTCGAGAAGATGCAAACAAGGAGGAAGCTTATACTTAACATAAGGAAGTAGCAGATGAAATTTCCGGAACACATAATGAGAAAGGAGGGCTTGGAGAATCTGATACTCACAGGTCGAATAAAAGGGGGAAAAGAGACAAGGGAAAGACAACGCATAACATACCTGGCAGGCTTAAGCAAGTGGATGGCAGAAGGTGGTCTAGGGGAGTTGGCAGAGGCACGAAACTTATTGAAAGCTACAAGGGATAGAGTGAAGTGGAGAGCCATGATCTAAAACGTCCTGAAGGGACACGGTATATAAAAAAGAAAAAAGGACAGATACAGCTAGGGTAGGCCCCACAACACTTGCAGAAGCATTTACGGTGGCACAAAGGAGTCACAGACAGTGTGAGAGACTGGAATATTCCCAAATGCTCGTAGAAGGAATGGAATGGCCCGTTAGGAAAAGAGAGAAATCGTGTCTCATTGGAATAAAAGAGTTGGACTGTGGTCGATCGAGTATTAGTTGTAGTAAAACGGCCCACTAACCTGAGATAAATAAACAGAAACGTCACCTAGCTCCCAGACCAATGGTTTGTTTGGAGTGTAAACAATCTGGCCATCTGAGAAAGGATTGCACTCGGGAGAGGCGTGCATTCCCTCTGTTCGGTTAAGAAACTACTTTATCATGTAAGGCAAAGGTTATGGGGAGTAAATTAAGTCATTAATAGATGCGGGGGCATCCATTTCGATGATTGGATTTAGGGATTATTTTAAACTAGGATTTAAAGAAAAGGAGTTAGATGTAACGAAACTAAAAATATTTCAGGCTGGCAGAAGAGAAAATTTGGATATCAGTAGTACACCTTCCTGTATAGGTGAGAGGGGCAGTCACAGCAAATATATGCTACCACCCTCACTCTGTGTAGATCCATGATGCTAAGTAGAGATTGGCTTCAACGTAATCAGGCGCAGATAAACCCCGACCCATCACTTCCTCTGCTAAAGATGGGGAAAAGAGAAATACGCTTAGGAGGAAGGAATGATGGAGAAATCACCATAAAAGCTACCGGGGATATTATTCTACGAGTACGTACGGCTATCACCTTTACTGGGAAGCTTTCTCCAGCTGGGAAATTAGGAAGAAGAAAAATGTGTCGGGTCGCCTAAATGGATGAATTTCGTTTTGAAGAAGGGGAATTAGCTCCACCGGATTCCCTAGTAGAAAATGGTATGGGTCGTATCCCAATAATACTAGTTAATACTACTAATACAACAATAAGGGTTTACAAGTGAGAGAAAGTGCGTCTATACCAGCTATTATGGGTAAAATGTACAGAATAGCCTGGAAATAACTACAAGAATTCCATAATTAGGGAGGGAAGATATTAGCTCCACATATGCCCATAGGGTATATCCTGCAATTTATAAGGGACCATAGGAACGTGGTTGCTGATTCGGACGTTGACTTAAGCCAAACAAAAGCAGACAGCTGGGGATATGCTGGAAGCAGGGATAATAGAACGTTGCAAATCATCGTGGAGCTTCCCGGTGGTAGTCGTTGAAAAAAAAAGGACAGGGGACACAGATTCTGTGTCGATTTTACGGCTTTGAATAAAATAACCAAACCACTAGTTTATTCCTTGCCCTGGATCGACAACATATTGGTATTGCTGGCAGGTAGAACCCCGACGAAGCCGACAGGGAGAAAGTTGCGTTTTGCCTGCCAAGTTGAGTTGTACCAATTCGGCCTGGCCAATGCGCCTGGCATGTGCAAGTCGATACCTTATACAGGACGACCTTTCGTATTACCTCTCTAATCGAGAGGAAAGAGTAAGACCCAGGTTGTACGTCTCCAAAGGGCTATGGTGTGAAGTAGTGAACCAGTGCAACGATACATCTGAATATAGATAAAACATATCTACGAGGTGATTCGTCGTAAATAATATTGGCCGAAGCTATACAAAGAGGTCATTGCATATGTAAACAGTTGCGTGGCCTGTCAAACACAAATAACCAAACATTTTAGTACCGCCGACAAATGGGCTCAAGCAGTGGCTCACTAACTGGTCGGAGGCTTATGCTGCCGCCGACAAAACGGTTCAAACCGTGGCTGACTAACTGGTCGGAGTCTTATGCAGTTGACGACAAAATGGTTCAAACCGTGGCTGACTAACAGGTCTTATGCAGTCGCCGATAAAAGGGTTCAAACCGTGGTTAACTAACTAGTCGGAGGCTTATGCAGCCGCCGACAAAAAGGTTCAAACCGTGGCTGATTACTATTCAGCCGATGAGAAAATGGTTCAAACCATGGATGACTAACTGGACGGAGACTTATGCAGTCGACGAAAAAGGGTTCAAACCATGGCTAACTGGTCGGGGGTTTATACAGTCGCCGCCAAAAGGTTTCAAACCGTGGCTGACATATTGGTTAGAGCCTTATACAGACGCCGACAAAAGGGTTCAAACCATGGCTGACTAAATGGTCGGAGGGATATACAGTCGCCGAAAATATGGTTGAAACCGTAGCCGACTAAATTGTCGGAGGCTTATGCAGTCGTCGACAAAATGGTTCAAACCGTGGCTCACTAACTGGTAGGAGTCTTATGCACTCGCCGACAAAAGGGTTCAAACCGTTGCTGACTAACTCGTCGGAGGCTTATGCAGTCGACGACAGAAGGAGTTAATCCGCGGCTGACTAACTAGAAGGAGGCTTATGCAGTTGCCGCTAAAAGGGTTCAAACCGTGGTTCACTATCTGGTCCGAGGCTTATGCAGTCGCCGACAAAAGGGTTCTAACAGTGACTGACTAACTGGCCCGAGGCTTATGCAGTCGCCGAAAAAAGGGTTCAAACTGTGGCTGACTAATTAGTCGAGGTTTATGTAGTCGTCGAAAAAAGGTTCAAACCGTTGCTGACTAACTGGTCGGAGGCTTATGCCGGCGTTGATAAATTGGTCCCCCATTTCCGTTGTTTGATGGGGGTTTTCTGCTCATGTTCCACGGTTGTTGGAGACGACTTCCGGCCACCTGATATTGAGGATGTTCCTGAAATTTGATGGTGTTGGTCTTGGTTGCCCGCCAGGTATGGTACATAGTCTTAAATCTAGCGAGGACTAAGTTCCTTTTACTTGCTACTGATGATGCAGAGAGGTGTAAGAGTGACGCATTGTGTTACCTGTAGTTTTAGAAGCCCAATATATATGTGTTGGAATCACCAGCTCTGCATACTGGTGCTGATTAAATGGAATAGGGTGGGAGGAACTGAATAAACCTGTCAGGTAGAAGTCTGCTGCGGACTATAAACCGTTCAGATGGAGTATAGGTCAGGTGTGTCAAACTGACGTTCCTGCGGGTCGGATGCAACTCTTTATATGCATCATGGCGGACCTCACAAAGGTTTCTATAGTCGTGGTATATCGAGAATTTCGCCTATGTTGGTAATGCAAATTAATAAAAATAGTGAGATTTTTTTCCCAATTAGTATGATTAGATTGTTTATTCTATCTCAAAGGATTTTTGTTTTTGAATGTCATTTAATCATGGATCGTCCTTGACTACGAAATAAGAACAAATGTAAAGTGAAAACGTTCGTAATTTTCTAATATTTTGCCTTAAAAATGTCGAATTTTATTACATCTGGAAGCCATTTATATGCCGTGAAATTGTCATGTAGTTCAATATCTTCATTAATTCAGCATAGTGAGTTCGCTGTATGAAAATGGGTTGAAAGGCTGACGACTTTGCGATTACAGTGAAATGTTTAAATGTTTAAGTGAAATTAATGTTTGCAAAAAGCAAGATAACGCCGGAAAATGTGAAAATGACTGGCACATTACCACAAAATAAAGAATCTTTTTGAAGTTCAATGACTGACATTCTGGTCTGCTAACAGCGACTTTACGTAACTGACTGATCACCTATCAAGAAGAAATTTATCTGGCAGAACATTATATATATATATATATATATATATATATATATATATAGAGAGAGAGAGAGAGAGAGAGAGAGAGAGAGAGAGATAATTGATGGACTGTTCATGTCATCAGAATGAGTGATGATCGGATGTTGAAAATCCTCATGTATAGCCAACTTTTTAATGGTAAGCGTAACGTAGTCCGTCCTTGGTTGTGCTTCAAGGATAAAATTAAATACAATTTAATTACTGCAAAAATCCCTATAGAGGAATTCGGACATGCTTTTGATAACCGACCAAACTGGAGAAATACCTGCTACCGAGGTGTAACTGACTTTGAAAAGAATTGTCTCAACCATCTGAGAGAATTAAGAATCATACTTATTATAAAACCCAGGTTGTGTGTGTGTGTCTGTACGTTTATATATTGGATCGGATTTCCCACATTTTTCAACCAATTTCAACAAAACTTCACAGGACTGCGTAAAATTACTTTGCGGTGGTTCTGACAGCGCCAAAAATTGGAAAAATACAATTGTTTTTGCACGAAATCAATTTGAAAACACGATTAAGAGGCATCGCTGTCGAGAATGAAAGGGGGACAACTCATATGGAGTTATACTTATTATAAAACCCAGGTTGTTTGTGTGTGTGTATGTGTGTGTTCATTTATATATGGGATCGGATTTCCTACATTTTTCAACTGATTTCAACAAAACTTCACTTTTTTTTTTGGCAGGTAGTGTTTCTAATTAAGATATGCGTGTCTGTCAGCCTTAAACAATAATCTTTGTCAATTTTATTTTTCAATCTTTATGATGGTTGATACTTGATCTATCTCTTACTGTTACATCGCTGGGCTCTACTGCTAGTTAACACTAAATCTCAGGCTAATACATCAGTCCATATAAATACCATATAATCACCTACAAATGTCAACACAATTATATGAACACATATCAACACACATAGGCCCATATACAAATATCTTTACGTATATACAGCATAACATAAGCAATTAATCTTATATATAGACACCAGGTGTTATTTCATGTCTAGATTATTTAAAATTCCGGAGTTTCCATGGACAGGCCTCCCAATAATATATATATATATATATATATATATATATATATATATATATATATATATATATATATATATGTGTGTGTGTGTGTGTGTGTGTGTGTGTGTGTGTGTGTGTGTGTGTGTGTGTACCCTAAATATATGATTGGTGTATACGGAATAAATTCCAATAACCAACAATTACTATTCTTAAAAGAGTGCTCAATACAGAGTAGAGCGGATATAATTATTTATTTAAAAATTATAACATAAATATGTTATAAAATCACTACAAAAATAGCCATTTTGTTTCAACACCTCTGGTGTCTTATCAAGTGATGATCATCACTTGACAAAACACTTTGGTTAAACTTTGCTGAAAAGCGCTAAGCATGGAATATAAAAAAGTGGAAGAAGATTTTCTTCTGTGATGGTCCAGATGGCTTCCAACATTACTAGCATTTTAAGGATATCCCACCAGTGACATTTTCTACACAATACAATGAAGTAGGTACCATCATGATTTGGAGTACTATCTTCTTCCAAGGAACGATGGAGCTTCAGGTTATACAGAGCCATTAAACCACAGTTGGCATGTTGGTGAGAGCATCCTTATTGACTAAATGTCCTAGCTTTTGAGGAAATGATCTTTCAGGAGGACAACGTTGCAATCCAC